TATATTACTAAAAACTATTAAATTGTAAGCATTTAAATTCCTCTTCTTCAGCTACTAAGGAGGAACTAGTCTATATGTTCATTGGCAATGAACTTTGTTTCCTGGTAGGATGAAGCCTGGAGATGAAGAACTGGAGAAGCTAGGGACAAAGCAGCATGAGTGATCACAAAAGCAAGGGAAATGTAGAGGACAGCAGTATTCTCAAACTTTCAGGGGGAATCGGGTCCACTTGGGAATCTAAGAGAATTACAATTGATTACAAAATGAATGTTAAAACATGTATGACTTGGCTCTGCTCTCAGAATTTGTGTTCAGTAGGTCTAAGGCATGACTTGATAATGTGCATTTCTAACAGGTTCCCAGGTGATGCTAATGCTGTGGTGCAGGGAACACATTTTAAGAACTACTGTTATTAAAAAATATTTAGGAAGTTTTGCTTTGGGTTGTATATCTTTCTAAATGACCAACTGTATTAGTCCGTTTTTACACTGCTATAAAGAACTGCTGGAGACTGGGTAATTTATAAAAAGAAAGAGGTTTAACTGACTCACAGTGCAGCATGGCTGGGGAGGCTCTAGGAAACTTACAATCATGGGGGAAGGGGATGGGAGAGGCAAGGCACCTTCTTCACAAGACAACAGGAAGGAGAATGAATGCAGGAAGAACTGCCAAACACTTATAAAACCATCAGATGAAAACTCACTCATTATCATGGGAACAGCATGGGAGAAACTGCCCCCAGGATCAATTACCTCCATCTGGTCTCTCTGTTGACACGTGGGGATTAGGGAGATTATGGGTGGGGACACAGCCAAACCACATGACCAACCATCTCTCTTTGAGACTACAGAATTTACCTGGCCTGAGACTTTCAAGGCTAAAACTGGGAAGTCTGCCACAAACCAGGAAGATTTGTTCTATGAAAGTTATCAGAATCAAAATGGAGTCACTTGCATAAAAACCCTGAAAAATCGAACTAGGGAAGACCAGAATGAAAGGGTTTACATGCATGTAAGCCAGATAACAGGAACTACAACAAAAGACTGCACAAACCACAACTTTGCACAAAGGCCACCACAATCTCACAAAAAATTACTTCTGCAAGGACATTTGCTATGCAACTGCCTGTCCAACCTCAAGCTGGTGCCACCCTTGTTACCAGTCCCTGTAATCAAGGATAATTGTCTCAAAGCAATTTACGTAACTCTCTTAATTTTTCCTTTAAAAGTCCTTGTCTTCTTTTACCTCCTTATGTTCATTGTATCCTTACTGTAATGCTCAATCCCAAATAAATACTATTGTCTTTTATAAGAGTCTCTCTCTCTCTCTCTCTCTGTCTGTGTGTGTGTGTGTGTGTGTGTGACTTAGGTTTAACCAGTCCCCTATACAATGTCTTCAAGACATTTTCAGTAGAGCTAAAATACTTGCTAATGCTTTTGTACTAAAATGTGTGTGTGTGTGTTTAATTGATTCATTAATTTTAAACTTTAGGTTTTAAATCGATACGTTAAGATTGACTTCAAGGGTAGAGTTGCATTTTAGAGGTTATTGTCTGTGATCTTGGCCCAGGGTGCAGTACTCTGCTGTAGCTAGAACGAATTGTCACCCAGAAATGAGTAAATCATCACTATGATTACCAAGTGGCCAGTGTTTTCATTCAGCAACAAGTGAAAAGGGGTGCAATAAGAGGCAGGGTGTTTCTTGTACTAATACTTCAAAGTTATTATAGTTACAGCCTTTGGGGAAATTCACTGCTCATACATGGCAATGTTACATGAGTTCATCAAATTAGGAATGTCTGAATTGATCAAAGTAAGCTAGATTATATAGCAGGAATAAATTCAAAATCTTAATGGCTTAAAAACCAGAAAAGATTTATTTCTTGCTCAAACAACATATCCTAAGACCCCAACAAAAATTGTCCATTTTTCTCTCATAACTTCTTTATCATAATTCAAGTAGCACAAATAAATAATTGCTGTGCAATGATAATAGGATTGCAGATCCTAATAATTCTTTTTCACAAAATAAACATCTATGGAAAATGGGAGTTGGAATTTTTAAAGGAGAATATAAATTGAATATTAAAAGTGATCTAGTTTTAAATGATAGGTCAAATAAAATGTAATTTATTTCATTAAAATCCCAGAAGTAGCTATTTTAATAGGTCTTGATTTAGAAGCAGAGCTTAGAACTTTGGAAAGCATTTCAAGATTTTCAAAGATGTAATAATCTAAGATTAGAAACATGATAATAGCTTCATCGATTTGCAGATAGTAAAAGTAATTCACTAACAAACGAGTGAAGTATTCTATGAAGAATTCTACTGGGCCCATGGAGCTTCTTAGCATTCTTAGGGAATATGTTTCACATCGATGATTTCCAAATATAAGACTATTATTCAGCGATTTGAGATGGCACTCTAGAACCTAATTTTTCACAGTGATCCACCAAGAGATTTTGATGTAGTAAGTCTGTAAGATGAACATTTTTAAAAAGATGAACCCTCCATGATGGCTCACACCTGTAATCCCAGCACTTTGGGAGGCCGAGGCAGGCAGATCATGAGGTCAGGAGTTCAAGACCAGCCTGGCCAACATGGTGAAACCCGTCTCTACTAAAAATACAAAAAATACCTGGGCATGGTGGTGTATGCCTGTAATTGCAGCTACTGGCGAGGCCGAGGCAGGAGAATTGCTTGAACTGGGACCCAGGAGGCAGAGGTTACAGGGAGCCAAGCTTGTGCCACTGCACTCCAGCCTGGGCTACAGAGCGAGACTCTGACTCAGAACAAAACAAAACAAAACATGAAACTTGTATTTCCACTTTGTGTATGGAAACAGAGGAAAATGCAATGTAAATGTAAACTTACTGGGACTAGTGAAACATTCAGTTCAGTATACATTGCAGATTATTTTAAACTGTAAGACTATGAAGTTATTTTATTGCTCTTGGTCTAATGTTCTAATTCCTACACTTGGTTCCAACACTAATTTTTGCTGTAATTTTAGGTAAATCGTTCATTTTTAAACTTCAGCTTCTATAAAATGAAGTCAAGTAGATTATTAATAAAGATGCCTAGCAATTCTAAAACCCCCTATTTCCTTGAAACTTTCCATTTCATGCAACGGGATGTGTGCAGCATTTATAGGAGTCAAATGTTTAACGTAAACTCTTGGTGGCAATTATTATAAAGAAAAATGGATAGCAAAAATGTCTAGTCCTGTTCTACACCCTTTAGAAACTACCCACTATTTCTAGGGTGTGTCAGTAAGCTGCAGAGTATATACATCACCATTTAGCAAGCCAACCGGTCAGTGGCTAATTACTTGTAGATATCAACCTCCTGAAGACTGAATCATCTGGAGATGTGTTACAAGTAACTTAAACAGGTAAGTTCAGCATGGACTCAATAATAAAATGCGAGATCATGGTTAAAACAAAACTAAGCATCACATCAGAGTAAGATCCTCACATGATTTTATTCCAGAAATGTAAATGTTCCCATTCCAGCCCTCATTCACCACTACCTCCTCTTATAATTGAGGATATGGCAAAGACAGAATAGAAAGGCATTCAGCTTAATTTAAGAAATGTTCTTAAGTTCAGAAAGACTGAATTAGTTTTGACCCAAAAAAAGAGCTCAATTGAGAACTTTGTGATTTGCGACCTTAAATCCTCTCTCCTTTCTGATATATTATTGCCAAAGGCAACCTGACTGAGGTTACCTGAGAGATCATTCTTCCACAAAATATGGCCAACCATGCTCAAGACAAAATCATAACACATAATTTATCGCCAGCATTCTTCAAATAATTGACCTCATCTCCTGCCCCCAAACCCTAATCCCAGAATACAGGAATTTTATGTCTACACAGCCTATAAAAGTCTACAAATTTAAGTCCCTGTGTGAGAGCTATTTGGGGGACTACAAACATAAAGGATGTATAGTGCCACCCATTAAGATGTTCACGCCTATGATTTAGTAGAAAAAATAGAACGCTGCCATACAAACATTAACAACCAAATTTACAGGCACAGAGAATTCTTCCTTACCTAAAACATCCCCAAATTCTAAAGTATTTTCTTTTTTCCAAATCCTACAGGTACTGAGATATGGCTATCAGAGTGCGCTAGGAAGAGTTCTCTATTTACCTCAAAACAAACAAATAAACAAAAACCTCCTCTCACCTCTCACTGAACTTCCTTTGGTACTGAAGGGTCTCTGCTTCTTCAGGTTTTCTTTTTCTTTTTTTTTCTGAGACGGAGTTTCGCTCTTGTTACCCAGGCTGGAGTGCAATGGCGCGATCTCGGCTCACCGCAACCTCCGCCTCCGAGGTTCAGGCAATTCTCCTGCCTCAGCCTCCTGAGTAGCTGGGATTACAGGCACGCACCACCATGCCCAGCTAATTTTTTGTATTTTTTTTTTTTTTTTTTTAAGTAGAGACGGGGTTTCACCATGTTGACCAGGATGGTCTCGATCTCTTGACCTTGTGATCCACCCGCCTCGGCCTCCCAAAGTGCTGGGATTACAGGCTTGAGCCACCGCGCCCGGCCTGCTTCTTCAGGTTTTCATCTGAAAGTCTCAATCTTTGCTATCACAACCAACGCCCCCTTCCCACCCTCCAAAGTTGAGGGAATAAAATGTCTTGAAATTGAGGATTTAATTGGATCACTGGAGAAAAATAACAGAAATAACTAGGGGGAAAAGTGTAAACTTTAGGGTTTGGAATTGGAAACATGGGGTTACCTCGCCATCTTCTGGTAAAAAATAGATATGAGCAGGAAAAAAACAAATCCAACCTAACAAGCCGCTTCTTTTTTAAAGCAGCAAGCCGCGTACTTCCCGTGCGGCGAATTCCGAGACCCGCCCTTTCCGGAAGTTCTGACGCTCAGTGAGCGCCGGGCAATGTGATTGACAGGGTAATCATCCGGTCCGTTATCAAACCCGTCCCCCAGGAAACAGAGACCCGATCCTTCCGGATCCGCGCTCTCCCAGCATCCTTTGCCTTCCGGTATGTGGCCCCGTCCGGCTAGTCCCGCCTAGCGCGCCCATTTCGAGCCAAAGTTTCCAGCTCGGGTTTCCTTGCTCAGAATTTTCCAGGAGTGGGTCTTTGGCCAGTGGCTCTGGGAGCAGTAATGGCGCAGCTAGAGGGTTACTATTTCTCGGCTGCGTTAAGCTGTACCTTTCTGGTGTCTTGCCTCCTTTTCTCCGCCTTCAGCCGGGCGCTGCGAGAGCCCTACATGGACGAGATCTTCCACCTGCCTCAGGCACAGCGCTACTGTGAGGGCCATTTCTCCCTTTCCCAGGTGGGGTTCCCAACCTGTCCCCACCCAGGGACCGGCCTGAGAGGGCCCAGCGTCCCCAGGTCCTTCTCCCATTGTTAGACTTAGCTCGCCCCGTTCCACCCTTCCAGCCTCAAAACAGGAAAGAAACTGTTGTTCCTGTTTCTGAGATTCGTGAAATATTTGTTAAATTAATGAATAAACAGCAGATCTGTCTCCCAGGAAGGAATGATCTGGTGGAATACTTAATGGAGAACTGAGCGCCCCTGTTGGCAGCTGACGTTATCTATCTCACTTTGTCTTTCCTTCTCTGGGGATTAAAGGCATTAGGGTGCTCCTTGGAAATATCAGAAAACTTCCCTTTAACTCGCCTGTCAAGCACCTCACAATGCATTTTAGGGATGGGATAAGGTGGACTGGAGGGATCTTCAGCTACCAAAAAGTAACAATTTACAATCACAAATTCCTTCCCTGGGTGTTTTTAGTGAACTGTTACCTGGATAAACTGGCAACCAGTCAAGTCATATCATTTTTTAATATATATTTGACTGTGCAAGTATATACATAATAAACATCAAAATAAACATCCTCTGCTTTTCTGGTGACACAATATAGGGTACTGGCTGGAAATATGAAGCCTATTTTAGAGAAAGACCTGATCATAAATCACAGTGCTGTGATTTACTAGTTCTGTGATGTTGGAAGTGTTCTGAGTTTCAGAAATTCGGGTTACTCATCTGCAAAATGACAATAATAATCTCTACTACAGAGCATGCTGTAAGGTTAATACAGAGGGTTTGGCACAATTTCTGGCTCAGTTCCTATTAGCTGTCATTATGGAGCCTGTAGCCCAAATGTTTTCCTAAACTTAAAAGTCCCAACCAATGTTTCCATGCTTTTTAAAACTGGAGCGTTTGCAGTTTAGTTACTGAAATAAAGTCTTTCTCAAGAAAATTTCTTGGAAAATAGAAATCGATTTTAAGTTGTTATTTATTGGTTGCTGCCACCTCAACAATCACTAAGCAGGTCCAGGGGTAAAAAATAAGAAAAACTAGGCCTGTTCTGCTAAGGACTGACTGAATCTCGTCATAGAATAACTTCTCAAAATTTCTGATTGTGGCTGGAGATGAGACTTGGGCTTGACATGTTTGTATCTGCCTTGTTTGTATTACCTCTTGCTTTGACTTTATTTTCTTTCATTTTAAAGTGGGATCCCATGATTACTACATTACCTGGCTTATACCTGGTGTCAGTTGGAGTGGTCAAACCTGCCAGTTGGATCTTTGGATGGTCTGAACATGTTGTCTGCTCCATTGGTATGCTCAGATTTGTTAATCTTCTCTTCAGTGTTGGCAACTTCTATTTACTGTATTTGCTTTTCCGCAAGGTACAACCCAGAAACAAGGTATGTTTCAAAATACTTAAGTACAAGTTTATGCATAGTCAGGTCCACAATTACGATGAATTTGTTTGAGGAGATTTGGTGTAACACTTTGTATTTTTGTATATTTTGTAAAGGTAAATTTAAATCCTCCATCTCCATTTTAGAAAAAATTTGTATTTAAATACTTGAATAACTTATTTGTAAAATCTAAAGTAAATATTTGTTAAGTGAATCAAGCCAGTTCAATAAATACCCGCTGAGTTTATTACATGTGCTAGGCACTGGGGCTACAGAGATAAATGAGACAGCTTTTTACTTCTAAAACTTAGGGAAAACAGACTTTACCTGAGGAATTTTGATGTGGTAACAGTGCAGGCCTTGGAGGTAGATTGCCTGGGTTAGAATTCTCTCCCTGCCACTTACCAGTTTTGTTACCTTGGGCAGGTTACCCCTTAGTGGTTCCATATCTTCATCTATTAAATAAGAATAATAATAGGATCTGCCATATAGAACTGTTACAGAAGAATAAAGAAGCTTAATAAATGAAAGATGCTTAGAAGAGTGCTGGATATATAGTAAGGACTCAGTAAATATTAACTCTAATAATTATTTTTATCCTTAAGAGATAATTTCAGTAGTATCAATTATGATAGAGTGATAGATACAAGATGCTATGAGGATACAGAAAAGGAGCAGGGAAACACTTACTGCTTTTCTTGGGGAGAGGGGAGTAGGTGGAATTGTAAGTCTTCACAGAGAAGTTGGTACCAGAGTGGAGTCTTTATGAATAGATAGGGCTGTAGGGTGGGGAATTAATCTTGGTGAGACAAACAGCACAAGCAAAGGAAGAAAGGCATTGGACAACAAAGTGCAGGGAATTGGTCTTTGGAATTGCAAGATTAGAAATTAGAGGGATGTAAGGCTAGAGGAGTAGGTCATGAATGCTCTTACATGTCACAGAGAGGACTTTGAACTTCAGTATGTAATGGACAGACCTTAATTTTAATCAAGGAAATGGCATGGTCTGATTTGGTGATTTAGATTAGGTGGAGGATACAATGCAAGATAAGAACACTTTAAAATTCTGAAATAATAGCACAGCTAGTGCTCGACTTACGACCACAATGGGTTCTGACAGACCGGTCATGACACAATTTGGTCGTAAGTTGAGTAGGCTATATGTACAGTACTGTGAAATGATGTTATAAAAATTTTTAAGTCAGATATTTAAGCCTTCTTGGCAGGCTGAGGTGTAGACAAAGGCAATTTCCTCTTGGTAGACATCTTGGGAGGGGTTTGATGAAAAATATCTAAGACACAAAACACAAATTGCTGTACCGAGTCTGGGATAACAGTTGAAATGGTGCACGCGGAGATGGTAGTGCTGCCAGAGGCTGGTCCGCACTGTTGTACACCCAGCTGGGCAACGTTTGCGCTGCCAGATGCGGAGCAGTCGTGTCTAGCGATTGTGGTCGTAAAGTCGAATGGTCATAAGTTGCATAGGTCGTAAGTCGATCAATACCTGTATGTCAGAAAGGCCAAAAGAAGATATATAACTTTAGACTGGCTCACTATTTTCAGAAAAATACCTGTTATTTCAGCATAAAAATGTCATCATGAAAAATTTAAGTCTGGGTATGATAGTATGAATACTATATGCATGTTTACATTCTCCCTTGTATAGAGTTATGAAGGATATCCTTAAAGGAAAATGGTGATTATGGTTAAGTGAATCCTTATTGAAGGCACTAAAACGTAAGCTCAGGGAAATGGAGCCACCAGCATTGTGTCCTGTTTATTTCTGTAGTCCCCGTAGAACTTAGTCAGTATCTTGCACTCAATAACTTCTTAAGTAATCATTGCCTGATTCAAATTGTGTTAAGCTGTGGAAGCTTTGGCATACACATGGTCTCCAAACTGATAGGTATAAATAAAAAGTACCAGGAAGTGTTCTTACAAATGTATGTTGTGTTTTTGTAAAGCCAGAAATAAGAGTCATATTGGTTAATTTTATTTAAACGAGGTTTGAGTAGTTTTTTAATAAGTCTTTTCACTAGGTAAGCAGAAATAGCATTTTTTTAATCATGAAAATAATTTTATCTGTGTGTTTTCTTCCTCCAAGGCTGCCTCAAGTATCCAGAGAGTCTTGTCAACATTAACGCTGGCAGTATTTCCAACACTTTATTTTTTTAACTTCCTTTATTATACAGAAGTGGGATCTATGTTTTTCACTCTTTTTGCGTATTTGATGTGTCTTTATGGAAATCATAAAACTTCAGCCTTGCTTGGATTTTGTGGCTTCATGTTTCGGCAAACAAATATCATCTGGGCTGTCTTCTGTGCAGGAAATGTCATTGCACAAAAGTTAACTGAGGCTTGGAAAACTGAGCTACAAAAGAAGGAAAATAGACTTCCACCTATTAAAGGACCATTTGCAGAATTCCGAAAAATTCTTCAGTTTCTTTTGGCTTATTCTATGTCCTTCAAAAACTTGAGTATGCTTTTCCATCTGACTTGGCCATACATCCTTCTGGGATTTCTGTTTTGTGCTTTTGTAGTACTTAACGGTGGAATTGTTATTGGTGATCGGAGTAGTCATGAAGCCTGTCTTCATTTTCCTCAGCTATTCTACTTTTTTTCATTTACTCTCTTTTTTTCCTTTCCTCATCTCCTGTCTCTTAGCAAAATTAAGACTTTTCTTTCCTTAGTTTGGAAACGTAGAATTCTGTTTTTTGTGGTTACCTTAGTCTCTGTGTTTTTAGTTTGGAAATTCACCTATACTCATAAATACTTGCTAGCAGACAATAGACATTATACATTCTATGTGTGGAAAAGAGTTTTTCAAAGATATGAAATTGTGAAATATTTGTTAGTTCCAGCCTATATATTTGCTGGTTGGAGTATAGTTGACTCATTGAAATCAAAGTCAATTTTTTGGAATTTAATGTTTTTCGTATGTTTGTTCATTGTTATAGTTCCTCAGAAACTGCTGGAATTTCGCTACTTTATTTTACCTTATGTCATTTATAGGCTTAATGTACCTCTGCCTCCCACATCCAGACTCATTTGTGAACTGAGTTGCTATGCAATTGTTAATTTCATAACTTTTTACATCTTTCTGAACAAGACTTTTCAGTGGCCAAATAGTCAGGACATTCAAAGGTTTATGTGGTAATATCAGTGATATTTTGAACTGTAGAAGTGGACTTAATAATTAGACCATTTCTGCAATGAACAACTGAATGGATAGAAATTGTAAACTTTCTTTCTGGTACAACGGTGATTACATTAGATGTGTTTATATATGTTTTAAACAAATGTAAGAAAATAAGTGGCAGAGCACTGAGAGACCTTAAGACCTGCTTGAAAAGCCTGAATAATGGGAAAATAAAATTGTTTTCATTTATCTCATATTTCTCTAATAATGTTGACCCCTCAAAAAGCTTGGGACTGTTTTGTATGTACAAATTTATTAAAACTGGGTATGCTTCATATTACTGGAATTAATTTATTCTCTCCAGAGAGAAATACTAGGTTGATGCAAAAGTAATTGTGGTTTTTGCCATTGAAAGTAATGGCAAAACCACAATTACTTTTGCACCAACCTAATAACAAAGTATTAGCAGATATTTAACAAATTGTCAGGTGATTATCTTGATTGAAAAGTTGCTTAACATTTCAGTAAATATAATTTGAAATCTAAGTCAAAATAGACATGCATAGATAGTAAATAATAGAAACTCATATATGTCTATGTAGGCATCAAATTGTTGGTTATTGTTTAAAATCTAGAAATGACGAAGCTCTTTCACTAATTCCTACTATGAAATGTATGATGGTCAAAGACAAATGGTATTGATAATACCTTTGAAAAGGGGTTTTCTTTCTGAAATACATATTGTTTTAGCTTCCCATGGCTCTCATAACAAATGACCACAAACTTGGTTGCTTACAACAATTTTCCTCACAGTCTGGAGGCCAGAAGTCTGAAATCAAAGTGTCAGCAGTGTTGGTTTCTTCTGGAGGCTCTAAGGAAGAATCCATTTCATGTCTCTCTCCTAATATCTTGTGGCTGTCTGCAATTCTTGGAGTTAACTTGGCTTATGGACAAATCTTGTCCAAGGATTGCAGACGGCAGTCTTCACTCTCGTCTCTGCCTCTGTGTTCACATGGGCTTTCTGTCTTTTCTTTATTACCTTTTAAAGGCTGTCTTTGAATCGAGGGCCCACCTTAATCTCGGATGATTGTGTGGAGATCCTTAATTATGTGTACAAAGACCCATGTTCCAAGTAAGTTCGTATTCACAGGTTCTGAGTAGACATGTCTTTTCACAGGATACTTTTAAAAGACATTTTAGGATAATCCTCATATGATTGTTAAGAGACTATCTTTTTATATGTTTAAATGATATATCAACAAATTATAGTTGTATATACTTACGAGGTACAAAGTGGTATTACAATTTCTGAATATAATGTGGGATGGTTAAATAAAGCTAATTAACCTATCCGTCACCTAAAATATTTGACATATTTTGTGATGAAAACATTTGAAATTTACTCTCAACAGTGTTGAAATGTACAGTGCTTAATTATTAGCTGTATTCACCATGTTTTGTAATAGTTCTAAAAAAAAATTCAAACATATTTCTTCTATCTAATTGAGACTTTGTATCTTTTGATTATCATCTCCCCATTCCCATTTCTCTGGCCTCTAGTAACCATCATTCCTCTCTCTACTTTTATGAGTTTAATTGCTTTAGATTACACAAATAAGTGAGATCATGTGGTTGCCTTTTTTGTTTATGGCTTATTTCACTTACCATAATGTCCTCCAAGTTCATTCATATTGTTGCAAATTACACAATTTCTACCTTTTTAAAGGTAGACATTTAAAGGCTGAGTAGTATTTTATTATGTATTTGTATATATGTGTGTATACATGCCATATTTTCTTTATCCATTCATCCATTGATGGACACTTACATTGAATAACTTGGTTATTATGACTTGATTGCAATGAACATGGAGTACAGACTTCTCTTTGACATATGGATTTCAAATATTCTGGATAAATGCCCAGAAGTGGGACTGTTGGATCAGGAGATAATAGCTTAGCTGATATCTTTTAAATAACTCTCAGTATCTTTACTGAGAGGTTAAAAAATAAATGACTTTTGAGGTAATATAAAGCTAAAGGGGACTAGTGTTTGATTCCAGTATTTAAAAAAAAAAAAAAAAAAGTTAGAATTGAAAGAAAGTTGAGAATTCATTTGCTCTGACCTTATATTGTAGTAAGGGAACAACTGCTAGGATAGGATTATTTTGTGTTACTTTTTGAATTTTGTGTTTATTGGTGTATTTCTGTGAAATTCTAAACATATATTATCTTTAGGTAGCGTTAATAAGATTCAGGTATGCTGTGTATTTTGTTGCATTTATGTTTTCCATTAGTGACTAGTCAGAAATCTTGAACTGCATCTGACTATGTATTTAAATGTTTGGAAATACAGTATCTCTCAGTTTAAATATAGTATCTCATTTTGGCAAGATAAATTATTTTAACTGACTTTTTCTTTGTCTTCTTAGAGTTATTTCTGAAATGTGCATAGCCAGTCATAAAATACCTTAGTGTAAACAGCCTAATATAATTTATTTCCAATCAATAAATAGCTTAATAAAATGTATTTCTAGTTTGAACTTAATTGCCATTGGCTTGATATTATTTTCCTTAGAATTGTTGGAAGAGAGGAGAGGAGAAGGGATCTATTTGTACCACCTAAATAAATACCACTGTTATTTTGGACTCACTTTTAAATAAAATATTTATTCATATGAAGAAATAAATTTTGTGTTTATTAGGTTAGCAATAATATATGATCTTTGAAGTAATTGGAATTTCATTAAAAAGTGAAGCAAGTAAGAATTGTGATATAAGTATGAAAAAATTTTTAATGAAAATTTTAGTATGACTTAGGAACCATGGGCTTGTAGATAAAACATTTAACATGGGGGTTAAGATTTTCATACTTGGTTGTGGCTCTGGGATCAATAAGGCAAATGGTTTAGTCTTTAGTCCTTATTTCAAAGGAGAATAGTATTTGTCCTAACTCTAGTCAGTATCTGGTTGTTATGTGTATAACCTTATTTTAAAAATGATTCATCCCTGCCATATATTCATAATATTTATATGTCATATGATAAATAGTGAGTAAATATACACTGAATTAAGTTTTCATATAGAGCGAAGTGAATAGAAAAAATATCCTATATAACCGTAGCTAATTATAGAGAGTAAATCATGTTTCATAGTCAGAGTCATCCTAAACATTTTTCTGGGTAATTTTCTGACCCAGTGTTAAATTTTTTTTTTTGCTTTAGTGCAAGCTTGTTCAACCCACAGGCCAAATGTTGCCCAGGACAGATTTGAATGCATCCCAACACAAATTTGTAAACTTTCTGTAATGAGTTTTTTTCGTGATTTTTGTGTGTTTGTTTTTTTGCTCATCAGCTATCGTTAGTGTTAGTGTATTTTATGTGTGGCCCAAGACAATTCTTCTAATGTGGCTCAGGGAAGCCAAAAGATTAGGCATCCCTGCTAGCATTTAATGCTTATACGGTTATTTACTTGTAAATATGTTTCTTTGATAGGATATGATTTCAACATAATTAATGTTTATTTAAAATAAGAAAAAAAACCTTCAACCAGTAACAGATTATAAGACTTTAAAGGGTAGGTTTCTTTAATATGGTATAGTTTCAAAATATTTGCTTTTTATTTAAAATAAGAAAAATCAATAACTTTCAACCAATAACAGGTTAAAGACTTGAAAGCAAAAAGAAATTTCAACTAATTACAAATACTTTGTTTTATTTAGTTGGGCTACATTTTACTACTCTAGGAATAGCTGTTAGTTATCTTTTATATAGGGTATTTTTATGTGTTTAATGTTGACAACAAACATTTCCAACACACAAAAACTTGCATAACTGAAAAAATTATATTAAAAATAGATAGATGAGGATATATTTTTGACATATATCCATGAGCCAACACTAAATCATTTGAGATTTGAAAGTTTTTTCTAGGGTAAGACATTTTGTCACAATATAATATCTGTATATTATGCTTTTTTTAAGAGAGAAATTTTTGATGAATTTAATGTTAATTAAATTTTAGCTCAGCCTATCACTGTCAAACCAAAAGAATAGTATTTTTCCAACAAGTAAAAGAAAATACCTGTGTATGTATTCATATATAAAAATTTGTATATATGTAATATATGCACAAATATATATATATATATATATATATAATTTCTTTCTTTCTTTTTTTTTTTTTTGTAAGAATAGAGACAGGGTCTCACTATGTTGTATAGGCTGGTCTCAAACTCCTGGCCTCAAGTGATCCTCCCACCTTGGCCTTCCAGAGTGCTAGGATTTACAGGCATGAGCCACTGTGCCCAGCATCCAACAAGAAAAATATTAAATGTATTTTTATTTCTCAGTGAAACTTGATCAGTTCACTTTTGTTGAACCATATATGTGTGTATATGGCACATAGAAGATGAAAAAGAAAGGTAGGAAAAGTAATAATAATGATAGGCTGCTATCATTCACTGAACACTTACAATGCTTTAGGCATTATACTGGCTCATTTGCAAATATTGTCTCATTTGATGCTACATTTATATTTTTATGAGGTAGATGTTGATTTTTATTTCACTGCTGAAGAAACTAAACGTCAGGCAGATCAAGTGACTTGCCCAAATTCTACAGTCACCAAATGAACGTAGATTGATATGACTCCCAAGCCTGTGAGTTTCTATCATATTCTGCCTTATTATGAAAAGTTTATAAAAACTTTTTATTATTTTTTAATTGAAGTAGAATATGGAGAGAGAGGTGATAATCTATGTTTGCCATCCGCATTATCCAGACCATTCATGGCATGTTATTTTTGTACTGGATATAGTCATTTTTTAAAATGCTACAAACTGTTAAGCATGAACAGCATAACTCCTTATAATTTTGTTGTAAGATAAATAGCTAAAATTATGTGGGATGTTTAATTTGGATGAGCAGAGACTCTAAAACTTGATAAGCTCTCCTAAAGAATAATTATTTGAAAGATCGGACTTAATTTTTTTGCCTGAAGTGTAAATCAGAGGTCAACAATTAGATTTCAAATCATGAAAACCATACATTTTCTAATTGTTTAGTCTTTTTAGAGAAATAAACCCAGGAAAAAGTAAGAGTCTTATTCATTGTATATAAGATTTCTGTTTATTAAAGATGCTTAAGAAGAGTTGGATAACAAGTAGGTAAAATGCCTTTTAAAGGTCTGACATCTTTAAAGCTCTGTGATTTTTAAATTCTTAATTTTGTTACAGCTAATTAATTGCTGAGTCATGGTCAAGTATTTCTGGTGACTTGCATGCTATCTTTGGTATGTTTTAAGTTTCTAAACCAAAACTACTATTTAACTCTATG